ATATGTCGTTCTAAAATTCACGAAGTAACCGAAAAACTGAACTGTATAAAGTTTGAGCAATTTCACATATGACGCAACTTCAAACGACTGTAACTAAGAAAAGCGAATTTTTAGAACTTTGTGCCCATGGACACTTTTAATCTATAGGTCAAGAACTATCAATATACAAAATTTCATGAGATTCCACTGAGGGCCAGTTCTCATAAGATTTCTGCGGGGTCCTTTCCGACAGCAAGCCGAGCAGCATTAAGAGACTTCTACGTCGATGACATATTATCGGGAGCAGCAGATACAGAATCAGCCCTAGAACTACAAAACCAAAACAACTACTAAAAATGCTCAGCCTTGCTGGATTTAACCTGAGAAAATGGTCTAGCAATTCACCAGCATTACTCCAATCAATTCCAGAACAGTTCCGAGAACAGAAAATACAAGAACTACCTCAGGAAGACTTCAAGAAATCTCTGGGCGTACTCTGGTCACCAGCAGACGATACCTTCAAATTCCAAGTCAAAGTCTCCGAGATACGCGAATTAACAAAACAACAAATTTTGTCAGAAATATCCAAATTATTCGACCCCTTAGGATGGTTGTCTCCAATCGTAATACAAGCTAAACTCATCATTCAAGACTTATGGCTAAGAAACCTGAGCTGGGATGAGCCTGTAGATCAAGAAATATCTTCAAGATAGATACAGTTTCAGAGCAAAATAAAAGAAGTAGAAAAAATCAAGATTCCGAGAAAAACAAAAATTGAACTCCACGGCTTTTGCGATGCATCAGAAAAGGCCTATGGTGCAGTGATCTACAGTCGGATAGAAGAAGAAGATAAGCGAAATATAACGCTGCTGCAAGCAAAATCAAAAGTCGCTCCAGCAAAAAACAGAACAACCCTACCTCGCTTGGAGCTATGTGCAGCAGTCCTACTATCAAAACTAATTCAAAAAACTAAGACAGCACTTCAAATGGGTGACACCCAGACCTTCGCTTGGACCGACTCCATGATCACTCTTGCCTGGATAAAGGGTGACTCTACGAGATGGAAAACCTTCGTGGCAAATAGAGTTTGCGAAATACACAGGAACGCCCCTCAAGTATCCTGGAACCACGTCAAGTCCCAGGAAAACCCAGCAGACATCATATCCAGGGGATTGGACCCAGACAAACTATAATCAGCTGATCTGTGGTGGAAAGGTCCTCATTGGCTGACGTTTCTCCGTGAAATCCCCACAACTGACAATATTCCCGACATTCAAGAAGAAGTAAAAGCCACATGTCACAAAATTGAAGTTACGATAAGGAGCGATATATGGGAACGCTTCTCAAACTTGAAAATGATACTCAGGGTATTATCCTACTGCCGTCGATTCATCAAAAAAGGAGAAAGTCTTACTCTATCCGTTCAAGAAGTTCAAAAGACTTTCTAAAGAATCATAAAAATAGTCCAACAGCAAGAGTTTACCGAAGAATACAAGTCTTTACAACAGCAGAACGCAGTCGACAAGAAAAGTAAGCTACAGACCGCAACCCAGACAGTGCCACATACAACAACACAGGCTAAAAGGCATCCTCTGGAAACGACTATGTACAACGAATACATGGATGTTCATCGGAGGTTCGTCTACAACAATAGCGGTTATATGCAACGGCGAGCGGGAAGATGTAGGAATAAATACAACGGGAGTAATTCAAATTTCTCAAGACTGCACCATCCAGACAACAGAACATTCTAACTCCCATAAAAAGCGCAATCGTTCCAGTGGTAGGCAGCTATGTGAAAGCTGTACCCATAATCTTCAATGGTACTCTCCACAAACATCCACCGTCAGATATAGCCACCGAGCCCGTGTTTGGAGAATCCGATAGTTTTGGAGACCTAGTAAGAGAAGAAGAGGACCTCGGTGATCGACTTCATAACAAAGTATGGCGCAGTATTCATCACCACTCCGCAGCCACTAGCAGCATCACCACCATAGTCATCATTATACTAGTGATTGCAGGATGGCAAACAACAAAACTTTTCAACAGAAGGCGTCAAAAGCGGACAAGAGACCAACACCAAGAGCAAAAAGAAGACATAGAGCTAATGTCTCTGCATTCTTCCAGTCTGGAGAGGCGGCAGAATGTTTAATTAGAACAATTAAACAGTGATTAACCTTCGCCGGCGTAATTTGACCGACTTCGTATATTTATATTTTATTCAATATCACGGTCAGCTTGCTATATGAGATTTTAGTTAGTCACAATGTTTGGGTAACATAAAAATATCCAAAGTGTTTTATATTTTTGTAGTTTTTGTCACGATTAGTTTACCAAAATTCAATATAAAAAGGGATGTAAGATTCGAAATAAATCAGTATTCATCTAGCTTCAAAAGGTGTTTTACTCAAATCGTTTTCTGTGCCCAAGCCTTCTTGGCCATCGCAGAGAGTGAGGCTGCTCTTTGACAGAAACCGATACAATCGTCCCGCTGCTCAACCCAGCCGAGTTGGTCAAGCGTAATCTGCGAGCACAGCTTGCACAACAGAGAATATCACAACTGTAAGTCTAAAAGGAGTCGACCACGAAGCTCTTCAATTAGCAATTAAAGACGCGAATAAATCAAAGATTGACTCATTAAAAAAATTAAATCTTGAAACCAATAATGTGTGAACCTATATAATCATATAACGTACTTATTTTGGCAATTGCCTGATTATACTGCTACGGCTAGTCAGCTTCAGTTCGGAGACCATGGGTCTATGGGTTCCTTGTATACATCTTACCTTTTGGCGCCACCAAGTTAATTGTGACTTAACTAGGAAGATAACTTAATGATGTTATAAACAAAACCTGTGCAATTGGAGAGCTTATCAATAAAACAACTAATTAGGTACAATAATGTATCTGGCTTCTTTATTAAAAATAATAACAAAATATAGGGATAGCCAGGAGGTTATTAAAAATGTGTTTAGAATAATGCTTGTACCAATTTATAAATATTTGATTATAAAAAAAAAATAAGAATGTAAATAATGTATAAAAATATTGATTTTTAAATAAACAGTTTTAACTGTCTGTTTACACTTGTGAAAGATTAGAACCACAATACCAGTTACACTCTACCAAGAGGCAAATTCAACACCAGAAAGGTGAAAATTATTGTTAGGGCAACCTCAGGGTAAAATTCTAGAATTTTATTTAAGGGGCACTTACCGAACGTAAATCAGTATCAAGTGATTTATATAAGATTTGCCTAAATAGTAAAAAGTGCAACTTACATGTGTACAAGTGTTGATTATCTTCAAAGGTGTGTGTAAATCCAGAAGTTTTGAAGGGATATTATCTACAGGTTCGGTCTCACTGTAGATAGACTATGGTATGGTAAGTGAGTCATAGTCATGAGTCCTATCCACGTGGTATCTGTTTTACGTAGAACTCAATGTGGTTCTAGCAGAGCGGCACCAAGAGGGTTGCTGAAGGGAGGCTACCAAAGCCAACTAAAAGCAATCTAGATCTAGTCTAGAATCTCTTTCTAGGAGCTGTCCAACTATAGCCTAAGACTGTCTAGCTACAGCCTAGTACTTGGACTAGGAGTAGGATTGTCCAACTATAGCCTGAGACTAGGATTGTCCAACTATAGCCTAAGAGTAGGATTGTCCAACTATAGCCTAAGAGTAGGATTGTCCAACTATAGCCTGAGACTAGGACCCTATAACGATGTTCGTATAAAAAAACAAATCGAGCCCAAATATTAGAAATAATCTTACCTCAAATTGAGGGATACTCTAGACCAAAGGTGAAGTCTTAAACTTCCAAATGCTGCTCGGAACAGTCCTATTAAAAAAAATGGAACACGTGTTGTAGGTTAATATTTCCTGAAGAAAATCTCAAACTTACCGAAACAGAATCCAAAAATGACCAACGGACGATTCTAGACAATTATCAGCAAGAAATTAGTCTAAAACTTGAGCTCCCTGGCACAAAATTCCAAAAAGTCTCGCCCCAAAAATAATTAGGGCCGAGGCCCGAGACCGGACGACTACTCAGCGTGAGGTCGCAGATCAAAAGGGGCAGATTCTTCATTTAGATTTCGGAAGAAGACTTTCATCTGTCAAACTTCTAATTTTGACATTGAAGAAAATTATAGAAAAGGACGTGTTCAGTTTCACCCCAAAAGTACGAACTGAGAATCGGTTGTGTAAAAAATGACTGGTGAATGTTGAAAAGTGCCTATAGAACATATTATTATATCAAAAGGTAGAACAGGTCTAAAGAAAACGCCTAGACAAAACAGCTGTTCAATGACATGATGGAAATGAAAAGTCAAAGAGTAAACAACAATTATTATCATAACCTCAGATTATTGATTGGATTTGCAAACAGATATGATGATGGTACTAACTCCTTTTCCTAAGATTCTAATCAATAACAGCGGGCCCTGCCGTACTGAATCAAACCTTCCTAGATCAATTAACCAAACTTGCAAACCTGAACCAAAAAAACTTCTAGTAGAAGACAGTACTCAAGGTAACAAAATCAGCACAGAAAAGATAGTTGTTTCTTCATTTATTCCTTTATAGTTCTATACGGAATCATATCTACTAAAGCAAAACAAGGTAGCTTATTAGCCAAGAAATTGAAAATGTTACAATCATAGTACTAAGTTCTATTTTTATAACAATTATTAATATTCCATATTTTAAAGGAAAATGTGGTAAATCAAAAAGTGAGGTGCAGATTGAGTTGCCCAACATTGTTATTCAACCCCAATTTGCAACCACTTAAGGAGGGAGGAGTTATATAAATTCTCATGTCATTATTATACAAATAATTCTCCATTTCAATTTTTTGTGGATGAGGAGTTTAACAATTTTTATGTAGTTTTCTGGTAGTCTTTTATCAAGTTTTTATGAAGGGAATCGAAGTCTCATTTGAAACTGAATATATGTGATGTGATCAGACAAGTTGTGAAACACCCTATTTAGGTATCAAATGGCGCCCTATAAATTTCAACTTACATATAAAACATCTCCAATAGCATAAATATGTGGCACATTCGTTTGTTCGTTCACAGCAAATATTTTTTTTCCGTCAGCTGCAAGCTCGACCCCAGCCTTCTGTAAGCCAAGATCAGCAGTATAAGGTGTTCTGCCCATAGAAAAAAGTACGGTATCAAACTCATCCTCATATCTTTCTGTATGTTTGTACCATACGACTGTTAATGTGTTGTCATTGGTTGATTGTTCAATCTGATCCACGTTAGAGCTAAAACCATACAGAAAATGTTATTGTGAGAATTAGTTAATTTAAATTTGCTAACCCGATGTAGAACTTTACTCCTCTACTTCGTAGCTCGTTCATTATTTTGAAAGCCATGTTGCTATCCAACTCCGTAAATGGTTCTGGTTTCATACATAAGATACAGGTTTCATAACCCAATCCATTCAGAATTCCTGCTATTTCCGCGGATATGTATCCATCCCCGATAATCAAAGTTTTTCCTGGTGCTTTGTCCAAACTGAATAAGTCATCTATCGATATTCCAAGATATACTCCGGGAATATGTGGGTATTCGGATCGGCTTCCCACCGCAATCAAAATTATTTTTCCTTTCAATAACTTGGTTCTTCCTTTTCTTATTGTCTCGACGGTGTGTGGATCTTTAAAGGATGCTTTTGCGTAATAATAATCGATTTTACTAAAACAAAGAGATTTTTCTGTAAGAAAACAGAAAAGTTTAGTGGGAGAGTGCAATCAACTTTCCCATACCGGCCATATCTAAACTCTTGCTATAGTTATTAGTTGTGATATGTTTTATTTGAGTGTAGATATCAACCAATATTGGCTCAGTTGAATTCTGAGCGTTCGGAGATAGTTCACTTAATGATGCACTTTAAAGTGTGAAATGTGAAATAGAATGTAGACATACAATAGTTTTGAAGTCCTTTTAGTTTCTGCTCTATCCACATAAGACCAACAAGTGCCTTTATTGGTACCTAGCTTTTCTTTGGTATGTAATTGAATTTTGTTTATAGATAGATATGTATTTTCCCCTCTCTAAAAGGAATGTATATCTTGACGTGGTGAGAAGGCTGAGTAACCTTCATCCAGGGAGCGATGTCGGCGGTAGCCTATATCTACTGATAGGGCCACCCATGCCGATAAGGCTCGAAGAGATGATGGTGAAACCAAGAAGATTCCCACGCAGCGTCTGACCCATTTAGCTACTGCAAACCGCGTCTGTTCTCCAGGTTAGGAGCGGCTAAAACAAAAACTCACCAAGACGCCCGGCAAGCGTGGTGTTTTAATTCCCAAAACCTTTCAGCAACAAATATGTCGACTTCAAAACGAAAAAAAGTACCCCAGGTGGGTAGAGGTACCTCACAAATATTGCAACTTACAACACAAGATCAATCGGAACTAAGGAACGTCTCGTTGAATAGGGTACTTGCATGGAAAATTAAATTGATTATTGTTTATTGCAAACTGTAGGAAATCGAAAAAAAATCGCTTTTTAAATTTCGCCCAAATATGATTATTCCGGAAGTTATACAAATATTAAGTTTTGTATATATAGATATACTGAGCATGTGCAACGTCACTAATTTATATAATAAGTGACGTCATAGGCATATTTCATAGCGTTGTAACTCCGTCAATTTTTGACTAAGAAGAAAAAGAAAAAACACGTGTTGACTTATTTTTCATGGACTATCGAAATCAGCAATAAAAAAAATTGATGCAAGTACCCTATTAGAGTACGAATTGGAGAAAATAAATTGAGACATTTTAGGATTCGTCGAAACAGGGAGAAAAGGAGAACAATACCTCCATCTGGATTCCTATGCTCTACAGGGGGAAGGATGATGACAACAATGGAGGAGTTGGGATATTAATAAATAAAAAACTATCGACAAACTTGAAAATCCTGAAAACAATATCTGACAGAGTAATATATGTCGTAATCAATGTAAATAAAAATATAACGCTAAAATATATACAAGCTTATGTTCCAACTTCCTCACATGAAGATGACGAGGTGGAAACGGTATACGAAGAAATAGCAAGAGCAATAAGAGAGAACCCAACGATGCACACTACACTGAGAAAAAAAATAGGCTGTTATAACTAAAAATTTGGTAAATGTAACTAGAAGCGTGGATAGCATAGAGGACAGGTCAAAAATTTAGTTGGAACGGCAAATATGAATTAGTTCGTACGACATACGACTTTCGAGGTTATATCAACTAATATTTTAGTTAGCTGCAGACATTTATTCTTAACCTAAAAACTTGTTGCAGCAATTATTATTTCATAGTTGTCCGGAGTTATTCAAGCTATAATTTTGTATTGGTGTAACCAGTATAATTATCGATGACAACTCATTTTCCTAGTTGACTTTGCCTTCTTGCTTAGCAGTGGCAACTAAAAAGTATTTGTTATAATAGTGTGATGATTCAGGAATTTGACTCGATAATTACAAAGTCTTTACTGTAAAAATTAAATTTTATCAAATAATCAAAATTTAATTCCGGTATTTTTAAATCTGTATCGATAAATTAAAAATAAAACAAACTAACGCTAACGTATTGCAACACCGGCCAAGTCATCATCTAAATTAAATTCTTAAAAATGATAAAAACGAGGACAGTGACATCACTAAAACCCGATCAATGAACTTTTTTTTTAGCAAGGCCAGCATGTTAATTAACTTGATGATATATGGCATTCTTGAACCAATAATGTTTTGACCTTAATAAATCAGAACATTGCGACATAATTAATCGTTTTCAGGCTAAAAATGATGTAAAATTCCAAGGAAATTGCATCTTTTTTTTTGAATAATAATTATATTGGCCAATGGAAGTGTCGGATTGCTAGGCAAATGACCGCCTGTTGACGATTTGGGGGAAGATATAAAACCGCGGGTTCAGTTGCCATTGGAGTTGCCAGTTGAAAACAGTCCAGTCCAGTTTGAGGTAAAGTCTGCCCAGTTTCGCGAAAAGTTACTTTTATGGCTTATGGCCTCAGGTATAATATAACTTAGAAAATTTACGGAAAATCGTGAAAGTAATAACATTTGAAATTCGTTCAATAATTTATGTGCGTGCTAGCTAAATATTTTGAGTAATTAATTAAGTAATTTTACGTGTGTTTTATGAATAAAATGTAAGTACTCTATAGTGACAAGAATTATTTTTGATGAACATGTGTGAATTTTACTAGAAAACTTTTGATTTTAATCACGGTGGAACTTTATTACAATAAACTTAATAACTTGAGTGTTTTATAAAGGAAACATTATCGCATAACTTAATTACCTTCAGAGATAATGACATTCTAATTTAATTGTGCAATGAAAATATTAAGGGTACTTATAATGCATTTAACAATATACAATTTTGAGTTGGAATTATGAATTAAACAGTTGAATTTATTAGCTAGGCATAGGATTCCGAAAATAGAGTTTGTTCTGATAAACTATTAACTGCAATAGGAAATTTAAAAAGAAACTTGATGACATAAAATAGAATTGTTGTCTTAAAACAATGGAAAGTTGTCAAAGGAAACTTATAATAGAATTTGTTCTGATTAAATAAACTACTATTAAAGGGAATAGAAAATTTTGGAAAGAAACTTGAAGTTCATGAAATAAAATTGTCTTAGAATAAGGAAAAGTTGTTAAAAGAATTTATTGTTCATGAAATGAATTTTGAATTAGGAATTTTATGTTTCAAGTAAAAGTTATTGTAAGATTTTATGAGAATAAATTAGTAAATAAACAAATAGGTAATTATTTTGAGTTTTCATAAGTAAAGGACTTACGGCCATTTGCACCGCTATAACTTAAGGGATATTTAATCCAAGTGAAGCTTTGAATGTGACTCTTGTAGAAACAAAAGTCACATTTAAAGTTCCACTTAGATTGAATATCCCTTAAGTGATAGTTAAGTGATAGCCGTGCAAATGGCCATTAGAGATTTTAAAGCATTATTTAATTAGGTAAAGGATAGTTGATAGGAATGATTCGGATATAGTGAAATGAGTTGAATTATAATTTATGAGAAATAGTATGAATAGGGCGTTTCTTATTTAGTAGGGATATTTTAGTGGTCCGTAAAATAACAATATAGAACGGATGTGAAGTATTGATTTTTAGAATTAAAGAAGGATGTAAAGTATTGGAAGATATTTAGCTGATTTTTGGGTTTCATGTGAAATAAAATATAATTTAGTACACCTCTTTAGTTTGTTTCTCTCTCTTGCAAATAGACCCTCTTCCACAGATTTTAGATAGCAAGCTCCAAGTATATAAACACCATCAATATACCGCTCGCCATTTACCATCTAACAATTTATATAGAGTACTTGGGACGTTTTGCTACAATAGCATGGAAACTAGTTATACCAGCAATCATTTTTGGTTTGCCAAAAAATATGTAATTCAACAATTTGTAACTACCACAATAACATTAAGGTGAATGTTGTATTTATTCAATCAAATTGCTGAGGTCGCATATTTTTTTGTAAACTTAAAATTCTTGCAAAAAATACCTACGATGTCGTTTTTTTTGAATTTTAAGTTTATAAAAAAATATGCGAATTCAGCAATTCGTAATTAAATAAACACAATATTTATCTTAAGGTTATTGTGGTAGTTACAAATTGTTGAATTTCCATATTTTTAAGTAAAATCAATAGAAATATAAAAATACAAACATATTGTTTTTAATCATCGTTTTTAATCCAAAATATAGTACATGTGAGTATGAAGATAAACACAAAATTAATTCTTAACGTAAACAATTTTCTAAGAGAAAAAACATGTATAAAGTTGATATTGACTCGCGATTCAACTTCATAAATCAGTTTCTTATACTAACTAGTCAACTATAAACATGTGGCAAGTGGTTCCTATTGTCAATTATTATTTTTTTGTTCAATACACTGAATTCACAGTACACGCGCACATCACCAAACACGACGTTTTCTGCGTTTTCTTGAACTCCGAAATCGACAATCGAATTCTGCGCATCAACTGACCGTTTGAGGAGACTGACTGAATACACGCAGGCGACTTATGGCCAAGTAGGGAGACAAAAACAAGATCGGCACTGGTGGGGAAATGAGCGCTGCATTCTATTGGTCCGTACAATTAACTAAGAAATACTAGTTGTGAGAATCAGGTTGCTGCAACTGGTTTTTTAGTATTAATAGGTACATATTTTGGTTAATTTTTATTTAATCAGCTTAATTAGTAATCACAACATGTTGTAACAACCAAAATTATAGTTAGCTATGTTTTAACAACAATTTTTAGTACTTAGAACTGATTATGTCAGTTAAGATGAGTTCCAAGGTACAACTAATTTGAAATGGCTGTAATAACAAAAACAGAGTGGTCGTGATAACTATTTTTCTAGTAATGACTACTATAAAAATTTAACCCACGTGTTTAGTTAACGTGTTTTTCTCAGTGTATTCTAGGAAGATACTTAAATTCAAAAATGGGCAGAGGAGCAGAACCAACGGAAACACACATAGGACAGATCGGATTCGGCACTAGAAATGTTAGCAAACTTTCTAGAAAGAGAAAGACTCTACCTGATGAACATTTTCTTCCAAAAGAAAGAGAAACGTAAATGGACATGGAATAGCTCAGATGGACAAACCAAAAATGAGATTGACTTCATAATC